GTTTGTTTATTTGTTCCCTGGAGCAGTAGCTGGGTCTGGTCCCGGCGAGCAAGGGCCCCCGAGCACTGCTCCTATCTCGCGCCCTGCCGCGTGCTGCGCCAACGTGGCCAGAGTCTTGAACCAAGCCTTTATTTTTTGCCATAAATCAAATGATAGCAAGTAGCTCTGTAAGGGAATGGTTTTTATTCAGAGTGATTCAAAAGTTTGGCATGTAACATTTATGGAAAACAGATCTATCTTCTACCACTAAACTCAGGAATTGTTGACTGGAAATAATCTAACTAAACCAATTAAACACTTCACGGATCCTTCTCATCAGCAATTCGTCCGTCTCCAATCCATCTCCAGGCTATCAGGAGGGGCCCGGCCTGCACGTGTTGCTAGGAGCCCGGGCGTCTAACTGGTAAACACAGCAGACCAGGCAAGAAGAAGACCAGGCGAGAAGAAAACCAGGCCGGCCAGGAAGCACAGGGCCTCTCTCGGCCTCTCCCGGGGTGAAATGAAACAGAAATAGGAGACCGTGCTCTTCCCCGTCCTAATTTAGCAAGTGAGGCTGTTTCGCCCAGTCCCGTGAAGAGTGTGCGGCAGCACTTGACCGACTCGGGCTGGGGGTTCAGCAGCCGTGGCAGGCAAGGCCGAAACAGGCTGCTTCCACCTGCTGCGAAGGGCTGTGTGCGGCTCAGCGGATCTACGGTGTTGACTGTGTCAGGCGAAGAACCCAGGCCAGGCAGATAGGGAGGCACCTGGCACCGGGCAGGCACTGAGCTGGAGTGGAGGCTCTGCGGGCAGGGGGAGCACAGAGCCAGGCGTGCACAGGCGCCTGCGCCTCCTCGCTGGCCATGGACACTGCTGTCACACCATGTGGTGCCAGGCCGCCACAGGTGAGGGTGGCATGCAGGCCTGTGACCCGCCTGGCTCCGGAGTCCGCGATCCTCACCAGTGCCCTCCACCGCCTCTCAGAGCCTGCTCTGCTCCAGGGCACATACCTGGAAGAAATACAGCTTCTTTACCTTTAGGAGACTGAAGGGAAACTCTCATGACACATTCGATTAGCTCTGAAACCAGTGTTGACTGTGAAGGGTCCGCAGTGGCGCACGCACCCTTACACCTGGGCCTCTGGGCCGAGTGCGTTGTTTCCACACCCCGGGGAGGCCAGGATAACGCATCTCCCACTGCCCTTTCTCCAGTGCCTCTCCGGGGATGAGGTGGCTGCCTGGAGCCTTGGCCATGAGTCGCCCTCTGGTGCGGGAGGGGACAGGATCTCAGCGGGAGGGGAGCATGTGTGCTGCACACAAGAGAAGCTGGGTGCCAGAGAGGAGTCCCCCCAACCCACAGAACTGGGAGTGGGCCCCTCCCTTCTCTGTGCAGAGCACAGCTGTTTGGGGGAAGCAGCAGACCTCGAAGATTCGCCGGGGTCCGAGGAAGGCAGCCAGTGTCCGAGGGTGGCCCACCGCTCCCTTCACACCCCGCTCCTCCCCATGACTGAGGCGACCTCCAGCCCCCGTCCTGTCCCCGTGGATTCAGACAGCCCCTGACAATGCCAGGGAGCCCTGCCCAGCGAGGCTGGTGATGTGCGGCCTGGGGACAGAGGTGCTGTGGAGGAAGCTGGGGCCCTCGCACTGCACCCGGGCCCCACAGCAGGCCTCAGCGTCCTTGGCATCCCTATAATCATCCCACCAGCCCTGGACGCAGCCCACTGGGCCCTGCCCTGCCTTTGTTCCCTGCTCCCGGGGCAGGCAGCCGAGGAAGGTGGGCAGGACTCTCCTGACTCTGAGATGAGCGCAGGCTCGAGTCCCAGAGCCCAGGGCTGCTGTGGGGACGGCCGGGGTGGGGTCACATCCCCCACGGGGGTGACACCCAGTCAGTGCCTGAGGACACCCAGACGGGGTGGCTGCGACAGACCATGAGAACCCTGGGGCTGTGTCTGGGGCTGGCAGCTTCTCCTCAGGCCAGGCTGGATGAACCACTGGTTCCCCTCCCTGGGGACAGAGGGAACAGGCAGAAAAACAGCACGAGGAAGAGCGTGCCGGGCCAGGGCCCCGGTGTGGGGAAAGCAGGAGAAATGACGGGGAGCAGTCAGAGGTCAGGAAATCAATTTCTGTCTCCTTACAGATCTATACGTGCAGAGGCTTGTAAAGGTCACACTTGTCCTTTTAAAGAACCTCCGGGATTTACATCCTGCCCAGCCCTCAGCCTCCTTGACGGTAAACATGAAGATCCAATTAGTTTTCCCTGTAATTCAAAGAGATCCAGCAACAGGGGCCTTTCCGGTTGGGAGTCGGTTTGGCTATAAAGTTTCTTGCTGCACAATTCTGGGGATGAACTTTAATCCATATCTTATCTCCCGCTTGAAAATGAACATCCCTTCTCTTCTTATCATCGTGTTTCTGCTTTCCTTTTCACTTTTCCCCCTTTCCTCTGGAGTCTTGGCCATCTTCCTTCTTGGCAAGGACAGTGGATTCTTTTGACTTAGTTACTCTCTGCATTGGTTACCTTAAGAGTTTCCCCCTGGCCTGGCTCTGAGCGGCCTGGCTGGGTCTCTGGTCCTGCTCCTCGCTGGCACTGGGTGTCTGGGGCCCCTTTTCTAAGTCCTTCCCGGAGGAAGGCTGGGGTCACCAGACACTGTTCTTTCGACGTCCGGCACCTGGGATGAAGCCCTGGCCCTGCCTGTCCCCAGCTGCTTCCTTCCCCTGGGCTCAGTAATCCATGCTGCTCTCTCGGGGTCACAAGCAAGATGGGTGCCCCAGTTCCAGTGCCGAGCTCTGTGCCAGGTTTTGGGGTCACAGAGCCGTCAGCTCTGGCTCATGCGTGAGGGAAGCTTTCACCTGTGAGCACTTTTGCAGGCAGGGCTGGGAGGCAGGGAACAGCGGGCCTTCGGGGGCAGGCGCTCTGCCAGTGCCTCCTTTGGGATTATCGGGGTCTCCACAGCACAAACCTAGTCACCCAGGGTTCCTGAAGTTACTGCAGCCAGCACTTCCTGAGTGTTGGAACCACTGCACCGCACCTGTCCTCTTTGGACCAAGCCCCCCCCGGAGCTCCCATAGCACCCCCTCGCAGGGAATCTGGGTAGGGCACACAGCATGGGGGCTCTGACAACACCTCCCTCTTGCTCCAGCTCTGACGGGGGAAGGTCGGGAGCCCCAGGCCCACCTCGTGTTTCAGACAGGTAGGGGAGTTTCCAGACCCCTCCTAAAAGATTCATATTTGGTTTCTTCCTTGCTGTTGCCTAGTAGTCCAGACAGGAAGCACCTAAAGGCAGAATGCCTTTAGAAGTTGCAAAGAATGGAAATACTAGTTTAAGCAACTCTCATAAAGGAGACTTATGAGCTCATGTAACTGTTAGTCCAACTCTAGGCTGAGCCAGGGCCTCCATGTTGTTTCCATGGGCTTAGCTTTCTCTGGTCTTTCTGTTTGGCCTTCTGTGGTGTCAGCCTTAGGCAAAGCCTGATTTGCCTCATGGTGGCAAAATGGCTGCTGTGGTTCCAGGCTTTACATTTGCATAGTCAAGAGAATGAGTCTTGGGTCTTTTCTGCACCCAAGAAGGAATCTAAAGAATCTGTGTTGTCATGAAGAGTGAGCATGGAATAGCTACTGGGTAAAGAATTTAGAACTTTGAACTTTTTACAGTTAGAAGAGGTTGAAGTGCAGGGATTTACTCCTCCCAGTGTGAAAGTAGAACATTGGTGCCGTGGCCTCAATGACTCAGACTTTTCTGTTTTGTGGTGCTGTTTCCTTGATGGTCACCAGTGCCTGCAGGAGTTCCAGCTGCTGCCTTCTCGTGTGACCCAAACAGCAGGGGCAGGAAGGCTAGACGCAGAGGGGCCTCTTCATGGACCCCAGCTCTGGTCAGGGCTGGAAGCCTCCTGGCGATGCCCAATCTCTGTCTCCTCACCCCTGGCCTGGCACGGGCCCCAGGCGGACCGCATAGGTGAACACTGGGATGGCCTTCAGCACTGTCATCTTTGCTGGTTTCCACTAGAGCTGTGTTCCAGGCCTGAGGACGTCGCCAGTGTCTCAGCAAAGTGAGGCGAGCGGCCAAGTGTGCCAGCGGCTGCCTTCGGCCATTCCGCCTGCAAACAGCTCTCAGCGTTCTCATGGACTGAGCTCCTCTGGCTGGATCAGAAGTCCGAGGGCTGTCTGGGCTCCTGACCATGGGAATTCGCTACGGACTGTTCATTAACCAGAAGCTTGAATCTTTCCCCACCAGCAAACTGCCGGCTTCTCGGGGCCCTGCCCAGCTCAGAGGGCCTGCGAGGGATGTCACTTAACACACTGTGGCTGCTATGGGCAAAATACTCTCGCCTGACCGGAAGGCGGAGTGAGGAGGCCGGACGGGGACGAAGGGCAGGAGGGTGCAGCCAGCCGCACACAGGCGGCCACGGCGCTCGGCTTCCCGTTATTCCAGCTCTGGGCTCTTCGTTGCCCTTCTGACTCCCTTGAAAGACGACGTGAGCAAGTCTTTCACCGCAGGTGGACCGGCTGTTGGAAGGAAAGGCAGAAGCCTACCTGAGACGAGGTGAAGGATGAATCTGCGGGGAGGACAGAGGGGCCGGGCCTCTCCAGTCTCAGGGAGGTACCCACAGGTTGGGCGCCCGAGCCGGCTGCACAACCCCAGTGCCTTCCTGCGGCCCGGAGGGCTCCTCAGAGGCCCCAGCCACGTCGCT